CCAGAGGGCAGCAGGAAGACCCCGGCCTGACCCTGTAAAGCCTGGGGCTCCTGGAAAGCGGGAAATGCATTTCACCATTGTCCTGCCTGCTCCGGAGCATTGCGTCTGGCCCCAGCTTTGGGCCAGTTCTTGGTGATTGCGGGGGAGAGAGTTCCAGAGGCCAGGACAGATCGAAGGTCTATGTTAGGGACCCGGCAGCTTCCGCCTGCCCCCGGGTGCCTTCCTTCATCCTTACCCTCTTTTTCTGGTTAAAAGTGCTGTATGTGGTAGAAGTCCTGGAAAATTCAGACAAGTGCCAAAAAAATTAAAACTCACCCTAGTAAACCGCCTGGTGCCCCCACGACTTCCACTCCAGTCTGTTTGCTCCGCTCCCGGTACAAGGAGAGCGCTTCCCTGGTGATTCAGTTGGTAAAGAGTGTGCCTGCAGCTTAGGAGACCCAGGTTCGAGCCCTGGGTGGGAAGATCCCCTGGAGAAGGAAATGGCAACCCACTCCAGTGTGCTTGCCTGGAAAATCCCATGGATGGAGAAGCCTGGATGGAGAATCCCATGAATGGATGGCTGCAGTCCATGGGGTTGCAAAGAGTCAGACGCGACTGAGCAACTAACACTGTTCTTTCCGTACAAGGAAAGATACAGAGCCTGATTTTTTTTGTGTGTGTGAAAAGTTTGAGATGAATTGGCAGCAACTTTTTTTTTTTAATGAAGAAAGTTTTTTTTTTTTTTTTAAATTTTTGGCTGCACTACATTTCATTGCTTTTTGAGGGCTTTCTCTAGTTGCAGCTCATGGGCTTAGTTGCTCCATGGTTACATGGCTGTTGTTGTTCAGTCGCTAAGTTGTGTCCAACTCTTTGCGACCCCATGGACTGCAGCACCCCAGGCTTCCCTGTCCTTCACTATCTCCTGGCATTTGTTCAAACTCATGTCCATTGAGCTGGTGATGCCATCCATCCAGCCATGGATGAGATCAGGAGAGATCTAACCATCTCATCCTCTGTCGTCCCCTTCTCCTCCTGCCCTCAGTCTTTCTCAGCATCAGGGTCTTTTCCAATGAGTTGGCTCTTCACATCAGGTGGCCAAAGTATTGGAGCTTCAGCATCAGCATCAGTCCTTCCGATGAATATTCAGGGTTGATTTCCTTTAAGAATGACTGGTTTGATCTTCTTTCAGTCAAAGGGACTCTCAAGAGCCTTCTCCAGCACTACAATTCCAAAGCATCAGTTCTTCAGCGCTCAGCCTTCTTTATGGTCCAACTTTCACATTCGTGCATGACTACTGGAAAAACCATAGCTTTGACTATCTGGACATTTGTCCGTAAAGTGATGTCTCTGCTTTTTAATATGTTGTCTAGGTTTATCATAGTTTTTATTCCAGGGAGCAAGCGTCTTTTAATTTCATGGCTACAGTCACCATCTGCAGTGATTTTGGAGCCCAAGAAAGTAAAATCTGTCACTGTTTCCACTTTTACCCCCTTCTATTTGCCATGAAGTGATGGGACTAGATGCCATGATCTTATTTTTTTTCCCTTCCCAGACCAGGGATCAAACCCATGTCCCCTACATCAGAAGGCAGATCTTTTTTTTTTTTTTTACCTTTTATTTATTTATTTTCTTACAACAGTGGGAGCAGATGGGACATGTTTTTTCAAACCTTCTTTTATTTACTATGTCTTGAGCGTTTCTCTCCACACTTCATCTTCTTTTATACCAGCATGTTTGACAGCCTCCAAGGATTTCATCATCCGGGCGTAGGAGGATTTATTTGGCTTTTGTTTAATTGGTGCATGCTTCAGCTGTCACCAGTTCCCTGTCACATGAGCCAGTGCTTTGAATATCCATGCACCCACTCACAGTGCCTCCACAGCATCAGTTTCTAAAGTTGGGATCAGCCGGATGGTATGAAGATCCATGGCCTTTCCATTCACATCTCACAGGCTATTCTTGAGACCTTCTTGGGAAGGGCCAAGAATTTTATCTGCTGGATGAGCTCTCACAGAGGCCTGTTTGCCTGTGCCCTGGTCCCATTATCTCTGGTGCATCTGTGAGTTTGCAAGTACTTGGCAGCCCATGTGTGTTTAACTCGCGCCCAGAGAGCCCATTGGCACTCCCGGCAAAGCTAGTTCATCGAGAACAGGATGAAGCAAGAGCAGGAGGCCCAGAGCCCTGACCGCAGGCGCTTTCCCTGAGTTCTCTGCTGCGCCCTTGGTTGAACTGGCTCTCAGTGTTGCCAGCTCGATCTGGGGAGGAGCTGGAGGAAACTGCAGAGGGGGCTACTGGGCTAAAAAGCAAACAAACAGGAAACATCGCCGAGGCTTTCTGGGTCCCCATGCCACTGACGGAGAGGAGCTGGATTTCTACAGCAGCAGGCCAGGGAGAGATGCCTTCAGTGGCCTCCACCCATCTAGACTTGCGAACTGGTGTTATCGGTAGTTGGTGGGGTTCCTTTTTTCTCTAACTCTTAGCACCTGCAGGAGGTGCGCCATATTTTTTGTCCATCTATGGCTTGACCCCTAATCTGTTCCCTTCATGAAAGAACTTTGCTGTCCTGCCTGCAGTCTCAGCGTCTCTTTGGCTCCCCCACACACTCCACCCCACATGTCTTACCATAATAAATCAGGGCTTTAAAGAGCTTGAGAGAAGACAGAGAAGACGCGTGTCTTAAGAGAAGGGGTTGGTGACCGCCAAACCATCGAGGCTGGGGCCTTGTCCAGAGTGTAACAGGGTCGGCTTACCCTCAACTCAGTTCCCATACTCTCTGGCCCCCTCGGTTCACGGTTCTGGTACATAAGCCGCTCAGGGAAAGCCATCCTAACATTTTGATTTGTTAGGGAGTGATTCATTTTCGAGGCAAGTAAACAGCTTGTATACTTGGGGGTTTACCGCTTGAAGTGATTAAGAAGTCAGCCACTATTAAGCTGGTTCTGTGGAGCTGTGGCTGCCCACACCCCTCCCCACCCCCGGGAATCTTCCTGACTCCCGTCTGGATTTGCCTTGATGTTCGCGGTAGTCAAGCTGAGGCCCCGACCCCACCTCCCCAGTCACCAACACCATCGTCTCCCCACGCCTCTTCCTGCGAAGTCCTGCCGTGTTCCGCGGGGGGCGGGGGCGGGGGCGGGGAGCTTACCGCCACGCCCCCTCCAGGCTTCGCATCCGCATGCCAACACATCGCTGGAGACAAAAGTAGACCCAGCTTTTGATCCTCAGACAAAAATAATTTTATACAAACATCAGGACAAAAGAGCTGCTCCACGGGGGCAGCTGGGTGTGGGTTCCCCCAAGTCCTGAGGTGGGAACAAGAGCATCGGGTCCCCTTGCAAACTCCCTCACCCCACCCCACCCCCACCCCTGCTCCACCCAGACCTGCCCACCAGGGGGTGGAGGCAAGGAGGCTTGGAGAAGTGGGGAGACTGGCCAGAGCCCTACAGCTGGCAAGCGAGTGGACCGGGATGGAGCCCAGGCTTCCATGGTGCCCCCACCCTCTCCCAGGCTGTGCCTGCTGTTCCCATCCAGGGTCGGGGAGCGAAGCATTTCAGGCTTTGGGGCCCTGCTGGAGGCCCCTCTTGGAGCGACTCGGCGTTGCCAGTGTAGCTTGCGAGCAGCCGCGGGCAGAGTGTACGCAAAGGGCCCGGCCGTGTTCCAGTCGAACTTGCCCTACCAAACCGACGGAGGGCCCTAGTTCTCAAACCCCTGCTGGACACGCGCCTGAGTTCTGAGCGAGGCCGAGTCAGGTCTGGAGAACCTGCCGGGAGAAGTGTCAGTGGGCGCTGGTGGCGGGTGAGCGTGGGCCTTGGGGCCCGGAGGAGTGCGCTAGGGCTGGGGAGGCTTGATGTGACTGGCCAGGAGGTCGGGGACCCTGCTGTCAGCGGGGAGAAGGCCCTGCCCGCATCCCCACCCCAACTTTCTGCAGAAGCAGGGGCACAGAGCTCCTGGGGGGCTGAGGCAGGAACCAGCACAGCCTGCCTGGGCTCCCAAGGAGCATCCACAAGGAGTCTGTTCCGTGGGAGCTTCCCGGGCGGTTCGTGGATAAGATCGGGAGCCATGTCCCTTTAGAAAAGCCCTGTACAGGAGGCAGGAGTCCCCGTCCGGGCACTCCGGGGTGGCTTGTTCAGAATAGCCTGCTCCCACCACTTGCCCAGCACCCAGGGCCGAGCGGGCTGGGTGGGCGTTCTCCCCGCAGCAGCCGGGTTGGGAGAGCACAGTGACCCACGCCCCTCGCGCTCGCAGCTGGGACAGACACTGGGCGCGTGTCCTGGTGCTGAGCCAGGCAGGGCTTGCAGGTTCTGTGAGTCTCCAAAATGCAGGGCCCCTCCGCTCCCTCAGGCTGGGCAGGCCGCAGCCCCATCCTCAACCCCAGAGTTGCTCAGAGGAACAAGCCAAACTGTAATTGCCTGCTTTTCACCAGAGCTTGCGTCTCTCCCACACCAAACTTTACGCCGGACCCGCCAGGGCAGAGCCGAGTCCCTGGCAGGGGGCATCTTCAGGGTCTCCCCTTGCGCCTAGGGCGGCTTCAAAGCTCAGGTCAGGCACCTGCTTCTGGCAGGACTGGGCCACGTGAGTAGAGGCCCCGCGGTTTGGTGGTGAGGGTGTCCCGAGTCCCTCTGTGAACGTCACCAGGACGCCTCTGAGCCCCGAGGCTGAGTTCTCTTCAAGGGTGCAGCTGGCGCGATGCTAAGCCAGCATCAGGCACTGATTTATGGCTCAGCGACGCACCCACCCACCCCCTCGTGCACACACACGCTCCCTGGGCTCTATGGCTGTCTGCACCCTTACCCACGAAACGGCATCGAAGTATGTCCAGGCCCATCCCGTGCCTGGCGAGTTCAGCTAACTCTGGGGAGCAGACCCAGACCGTGAAGGAGCTTGCTTTGGATCAGTTAGCCCTCCTCTTCGAGATGGGGGCTTGCCCCCTGCCCGGGACCTCACACAGTCCCCGGGGAGGCGGCACCCGCTGCCAGGCCAGCTGGCAGCCCCGCTGGGTCACAGCTTCCCGCCTTGCTTTGCAGGCTTCGCCGTGGCCCAGTGCATAAACCAGCACAGCTCGTCCTCCCTGTCCTCGCCCTCGCCCTCGGCCAGCGGGAGCCCCGGCGGCAGCGGGAGCACCAGCCACTGCGACTCCGGAGGCGCCAGCTCGTCATCCACCCCCTCAGCAGCCCAGAGCCCCACAGGTATTGGCCGCGGGACACGGTGCGGTGGGGGGAGACTTGAGGAAACGCTGCGACCCCACCCCCTGAGGTTCCTGGCTGCCCCTCGCCGCCGTGTCTGGGGACTCTGCCACCCGGGGTTCCGCCTCCACTCCAGCGTGCCGTCTGCAGTGGGTGGCTGGCTCGGCCCCCAGCAGGCAAGGAATGGTTCCCTTCACGGGCTGGTGCCCGGGCCGCAGAGCTGGAGGGGTGGGCAGCGGGCGACCCAGCCTCAATTCATCCCACTGTCACCTCCAGAGTCTCAGGTGTTGCAAGGAGGGGTCTCCCAGATGTGATGCTTTGAACTCTGGCAAAAGAATTGTGTCTTTAAATTTTTTTTCCCCTCCATAACATACCAATTTCCTCTTTAAATTGGTTTGGGGCCATCCAGTCGTCTGTGAGCAGGGGCTGCCTCTTGACGGTCTTTTGGGGAGTCTGTCAGGATGGGCAGGAGCCACAGCTTGCCCTCCTATGACTGACGCAGCACAGGCGTGGCGCAGAGAGACCCTGTGTGCAAGGGGCCTGGCGTGAGACACGCGTGTGGTCTGCCCAGCTCTCTCAGCCCCTCACACATGAGCCCCTGGCTGCAGCGCGTGAGACTCCAGCAGTGAAGATGCCAGACTTGTTTCCCGAGCACCACGGCCCCTGAACACAGCCAGAGGAGCAGGGCCTTGCGCCTGCTCGCTGCTTTACACCCCGGCGGGTGACCCCTGGGTCTGGAGGGCCCGGACGTCTCTGATTTGAGGGACCTCCATAACTCTGGTCTGCACCCCCACCTGGGGACCCTCATAGTCATTCCCTGTTCCTGAGGGGTCCCCTCCAGAGCCCCCACCCCTTGTTATTTCAGGGACACCTGCACACACCCTTGTTGACTGATGGATTGACGGGTCTTGACAAAAGCAGTGTGTCGGGGTGGGAGCCACCACGGTGCCGGGAAATTGAGGGCCCCTGGCCACCAGCCACTCAGCACCAGACGCAGAGATCCCCTTGGGCGCCCAGCCCTCTGTCCGGAGTTTTCAGTTTCCACTGTTCTCAGCGAAGGGTTAACCACGCCTGGTCTCCACGCCTGTGGCTCAGGGCACCCCCGCCCCTCCTCCCGCGAGCATCCCTTACCTCCATCTCTGATGGACATTCACGAGGGCCCCAGCAGCAAGGTCACCCTCCAGCCACCGCACTTAGAGCCCCCTTCCACTCGCACCTGCTCCCCTCCCTGCCCCAACCCTGGGGAGAGATGGCCGCCCTTTCTGAGCTATTTCTGAGCCCGACTGAAGGTTGGCTGCGTGTCCAGGCAGTTGCTGCCGCCGTTCCCAGGCTCGTAGCTGGGAAATCCAGACAGCTTTCTCAGAAGCCAAGGACAGCCCTCAGCCTCCCCCTGAAGCCTGGGCCCATGCTGGCTTTGAGGGCCCAAGAGCAGGGTCATGTGTTGACGTGACACGTGTGTGCCCGCGTGCTTCGGCGTGTGCACCGTTCTGTGTCTGTCAAATGCACCCACACACACACAGACTTCCAATTGCATTTTGGGTGAAAGGTCTCTTCCTGGCGCCGCTGTGTACGCCTTCCTTTTGTTTAGGGAGGTGCAGCCGACAGCTAAACGAACCAAAGAGCCATACACTTCTTTGCCTCCAGCTGAAGCCAGAAGAGAACCACGCTATCAAAGTAGGGCCTGGGTGTGCAGAGGTCCACCCGAGTGTGGCCCCTGGGGCTCGGCATCTTGCCCACCTTGCACTTTGCACTAGTTTCTTTATTCTTGGCCTCCGTCCCTACCCCCTACAATCCCCTGCTCGGTGCCAGTGACGTGTCTCCTCCTCGCTGAAACACGGGGGCCATCAGCCGCTGTCAGGTAGATGAGTGATGGTCCGGCCCCAGCTGTCTGCTTCCAATCCGCGTGTCCCCGGCAGGCCTGAAGAAGCGGGGAATGGAGGCCCTATGTTTTATGCTGCCTGACAGTAAAAGCCTGGGGCCCAGCCTACCCATCCGGATCTCTGCAGACACTGAAATAACTCACCTCCCGGTGCAGGGCCAGCCTGTGGGGTGGCTGGCACTTCCCTCTCAACTGAGGAGCCAGCTGTCGATCCCCACAAGGAGAGGGTGCGCCGGGGCTGGGGCGACAGGCCCCAGGAGGGCCTCTGCTCACTTCCTCTTGATGCCCAACCTCCAGCCGCCAGGTCCATCCAGAAAGCAGCCCATGGGGTTTCCATGTTCCCTAGAGGGGCAGGTCTACCCCGATGATACCAGCCTCTGCCTGGTGTCCTACCCAGCCTTGCTGGACGAAACAAGGGGGGAGGGTTCTATTGGGACGGGTACCCGTCTTCCCGTGTCCCGGTTACATGTCCGCCCGGGTGGTGGCCCAGTGTTCAGGCTTCCGTTTTGGAAGTCATCAGACTTACCCCGCAGGGTTAGCTGGGCAGATGCTCCGGCCAGGGCCTCACCCCGCAGCCCGTCCAGCCTGGACAGCAAACAGCTGCAGCCCAGCCGCAGGGGTGCTTGTCCTCAAAGTGGGTTTTGAGGGCACAGTCCTGGCTCAGAAGCATCCCTGGCCCTGTGTTTCCAGAGCCTTTTGAGTCCAGGAAGTTCCCAGGGTAGAGAGTAGCTGCCAGGCCCTCCGCAGCTGGAATTAGCAAACTCCAGGGCTTCTGTGCTCTTGAAGCCACACTGTGCGTGTCACGATTTGGTTACGAAAGCACTCGGGAAATGCTGTCCACTAGGAGATGAGCCCAGTGTTCTTTTTCTCTGACCCATGGGGTTGAAACCTGAAATTGTGTGGCTCAGTAAAGAATCTGCCTGCCAATGCAGAAGACCCGGGTTCGATCCCTGGGTCAGGAAGATTCCCTGGAGAAGGAAATGGGAGATCCCCTGAGAAGGGAAGGGCCTGGCTACCCACTCCAGTGTTCTTGCCTGGAGAATCCCATGGACAGAGGAGCCTGGCAGGCTGGGCTGCAGTCCTTGGGGTCACAAGGAGTCAGAGACTGAGCGATAACACTTTGACTTTTCGTCCATGAAAAGCAGAGTTGACCTTCACACTATCAGCCATCAGTGTGGCCTGGGCCCCCACCGCCCAGCCCTCTGGGTGTGCCCCCACCACAGGGAGCCCCAGTAGGCGCTGCTCCCCAAATGCACGTGTCAGGTGTGCGGCTCACACGCACTTTACAGACACCTGCCCGTTGAATTCTGCCACCCTGTGCCTCACACTGAGAAGCTGAGAACCGCGGGGGCTCAGAGGGTTCTCGCAGCTTGGCCAGGACGCTGCAGCTGGTAGCAGGCGGCCCAGGTAGGAGCCCAGCCTCCGAGGTCCGGAGCCCTGCCCCACGCGCGGAGACGACCCAGCACGCCTCGCCGTCTCCCTGCGTCTGTCCCCGGTACTGCCAGTGTGGTGCAGGCATCTCCCCTCCCGAAGCTCACCGTTGCTCTCGAGCCAGCTTCGGAGCCTCAGCCCGCTCACAGAGGCCCGGTCACTGCGCAGCTTCTGCAGCGGGGAGCCCAGCGGCCCCCAGTCAGGCCCAAAACGGACCCCAGATGGCCACGGGTCCTCAGCCATGGGTTCACCCCCAGAGGAGAGTGTGAAACTCTTGGCGCTCCGTTGTGCTTTCTGCCTCCGCCCTCAGTCCAGCCCAGGGGACCGTGCGTTTCCTGCCTGGGTTTGAAAGAGGCCCGTGTTTATCCCAAACACAAATTTCCTCAGCTTCCCATGGGGCCCTCAGTCACGTGGACGTCAGACCCGAACTCAGTAGGGTCTCTCCACCAACCGAGCCCCCACACCCTGCCCAAGAGGCTCTTCCCTCTGCCTCTGACTGCCTCGGCCTTGGTACCCCACCCCCGCCAGGTTCACTTTTTCCAAAGGAACAGATTTTTGTTGAGTTCCTGCTGTGCGCAGGCCCTAAAGCCTGGAATGTGCAAGCTGCTGGGGAGGCTGAGTCTGTCAGAGGACCACGCAGATAAGCGGCCCGCTATGAACTATGAGCTGGGGGCTGCGGGCAGGGCCAAAGGCTCCCAGAGGAGGCGTCACTGGGGGTGAAAGCCCAAGAATGAGGGGCTGACTAGAGGGCTCCCTGGAGAAGGTGGCCTTTGGGTCAGTTCCCCAAGGCCCGGTCCAGGGTCTGGCTGGTGACAAGTCCATTCTTTTCCCCCACCTCTCTGGGATCTACCTATCAATTCCATTCTTGCAAATACAGGCCCAAGGGCTGGTCTGTCTCCAAGAAACAGCCCATCAGGGCCAAGGCCCCAGCTGAGGCTCCAGGCCCGCACAGGCAGAGGGACCGTCACCAGAAGGGGGAAGCGACCCACCTAGACAGGTCACCAGGTGGCCAGTGGCCCACAGGTGTCCTTCCATGCGGGGAGCACCTGCTTCTGAGTCTCCTTAACATACCAAAGAGAGATCGTGGACACTCGTGAGTGGCTTCTTAGCAAGCGAAGGCCCTCAAAGCGTGGCCAGAGGACACCCTAGGCTGGAGGGAAAGTGAAAGTGTATTCCCTCAGTCATGTCTGACTCTTTGCAACCCCATAGACTGTAGCCCACCAGGCTCCTCTGTCCATGGCATTCTCCAGGGGCATCTTCCCGACCCAGGGATCAAACCTGGATCTCTTGCATTGCAGGTGGTTTCTTTACTGTCTGAGCCAGCAGGGAAGCCCCCAGACTGAAGGAGAAGTCAAAACTGAATTCTGTGGTAACCCTGGGACCAACCAGAAAGAGCTGGGGGCAAGGGGATTTTATTTTCATTGTGAATTATTTATCTATCAAAGCTGGGCCCCAGAGGGCTTTTATTGTTGGGTTTCAACACCTGATGCATGAGTCCACCTCTTCCCACCGTCCTTTAAAGACAGTTTGCTGGAACCCTCAAGTCTCTGCAGGGAGCAGCAGGTACCCTGTGCTGCAGAGGTGTCCAGGCACCCGGCCTCCTATCGCCGGCTCTTCCGGCTTAGCCAGCCTCGTGGGCCTCGGCTTGTTCTCCAGGGAGAAAATCACAGGTTTGGAATGAGCAGGGTTTTTT